ATGCTCTGGAAACCAGTATAAGTTCTAGTAGCTATGCAACTAAGGCTTGGATGCAGACTTACCTTCTGCTCATAGGTTGGATGGCAGTATCCACTTGATAAAATTCATTGGTTAGCTTTATTACCTCTTGTTGTCGGATCCAGCTGTGAATATAATTTTTCTTGAAAGGTGTTTTCAGTGGTACCCTTAATCTCTTCCATACTCCCTTGTCATCTTTGCTTGACACTTGGGTGATGTGGGGATGGTCTTTGTTAAGATTTTCTTGGGTGTTGGTGTTATAAATGCTAGTCAAACACTTCCTTGAACATTGTATTACCTTGCAATATACTGATCCTCATAATAATTTCACAAACTAACTGTATGCAGCTCTGAAAACAGATATTTTTTTACATCCTAGGCAGGAGCAGAAATTTCTACAATAAAACCGGAAAATTATGCAAGGAGATTCCTGGAGTTAATGGAGAGAATATTCGAATAGATGTATTAAGAGTAATTTTTAAGCAAAAATATGCAGTACGTACACAAATGTACAATCAACTAGTCAATCACTAGCATTGTCAACCCTTTGAAATCCAAAGCTCCAAAATGTAAAAATTAAATTTAATTGTTATTTTTAATTTTATGACTTATCACAGTTGCAAATATTAATTTTCATATTCAGATTACATCTATTATTTTGTTGTTTTTCTTTTGACACCTTTAAAATTGTTAACTAAAACAATCCTTTCATAATGTAGTTGGGAGGGGGTTTATTATATTTTCTAGCTGTTATTTGACCCCTTCTGTAACAACTGGTTTTAGCATTGGCATTTTCACTTAGTTAGAAGTAGATTGTTAATAAAATCATTACTTTTATCTGCTAGGAAAAATTTTATCTCGGTCAGAAGTAGTTGTTCTACTAAATGCAAAGAATGGTGAATAATTTTTTTCATGTGACACATATGAGTTAACATACTCTTGCCAAAATGTTTTAAGGATTGCGTTAGTTTTCTTAATTTATTCACCTATGGAGGTTATATTGTTTTGATCCAATGATGAAACAATCTGTTTTCCTACGTGAGAGGAGGAATTTTCCCAAGATCCAAATACAGTTAATTTAAGGGTGATCACAACACAAGTTAAATCTCAAGTTTAAATCAGTTATAGATGAGTTTCTTTTCTTGACCAGCCAACTTTAATGCCTACTGGAGCAGGTTTGCTTCAAGTGCAGTTTCTTAAAAGAAGCTGCAGTGGTTTTGGTGCAAGGGGGAGGTAGGGGAGCAATAGATTGCAATTGTTAAAACTTGAGGGGGTCTTATGGACTTGTGTCAGTGTACCACTATAATTTTATCTGATATATCTCTAACCTTTCTTTAATGAAATGTGTGTTATCCCAACTAATTTATTTCTCCCAAATTATTTTACACTGAACATTCTGGATGAAAAGACTAGATGAAAATATCTAAATTTTAAATGATCAGTTGCCTTTTTCAGCTCTCTTTAATCTCTACAGGTTAATTTGGGTATTTTTCTCTTTTTATACTAAATATTTCAATTTCAAGTTTATTATGGCCCTGGCACAATCGTACACAGAAGACATTTGCAGGGTTTCCCTTAATCTGAGGTTAATCTATTTTCCCATTTCAGTGAGAATATGACCTACTAGTACATTTACAATGACTCTAGCTCAGGTTTTACATTTCAGGCACTTGCTAGCCAGTATTTAAGCCTTTTTCTTAATGTTAAGATTTTAACTATAATATTTTGTCCTTCATGTTTCGGTTTAGAAAAAAATTGTGTAACTTGACACCAACGTATTTGAGAGCCCCTATTCTGATGTTTTTTAATAAACCACTCTTTCTTTGGTTTTGAAACTCAGTGTTCCTTGGTCTTTTTAAGGTTTCAAAATATATTTATTCACTGGATGTTTTGATCTTGATAAAATTAACTTTTTAACTGGTAAACTTCAAGCAGTACTGTATGCATCATCAAAAGGGAATTTCCTATTGTTGAAATATTTGTTAAAATGTACAAAAAAAACAATTTCTGATGCTTGTAAGTGCTTCTTAAATCTTAATAAACATTTCTTTTAGTATGACAGTTGTCCTAAAATTTTACTGGTCACTCTGAGGGGTTAACCCTTACATTCTAACATTGGTATGCATATTCTCTAAACTGTGTTCTATAGATCTTTTGAGGAACTGACAAGGAGAATTTACTTAATAATCAAGAGCTTTTGTTTGCAATCATTTCCTTTATAATTTGTCTTTTTAAGGGGTTGAAGGGTTAAAGAAGAAAGAGAGGTTTTTTAACACTACAACATGAATTTATAAGAGATCTTTGCAGTGAATGTGGAGGCAATCTTTGCAGTAATGAACACTACTTGAGCAGTTGTGAAAATAAGGCCTGAAAAAAATTCAGGTCTGTATAAGATTTGAACCCATGACCTCTGCGATACCAGTGCAGTGCTCTACCAACTGAGCTGTCAAGCCAACTGGGAGCTATTAATTATAAACCGTGAAGTGATGAATAAATGTCTGTGAATATATCAAAATCATATGTGTGAACTGTGAAAAAAGAAGTGAATATGAAAGTGATCTATGCAGTAATGAACACTAATTGAGCAGTAGAGGAAATAACACAACAATGTTTTCAAAATCTGAACAGGCATTCAAGAAATACTCTGACCCCAACATATTTCAAGTTTTAGCCCTTTCTACCCTTATATCAGTATGCATATTCTCCACACTGTTCTTTATACAATTCCTTAGGTGCTGACAAGGAGAATTTGTTTGCCAATTAAAAGGTTCCTTCACTGGTGATCATTTCCTTTAGTAAGGTCTGGGAAGGAGAAGATGTGTAACAAATTTAAGAAAATAAACAACACTTTTTTAAAACATGTTTCAACAGTTCTTCTGTCATCTTTAGTTCAGGTTTGTACAAAGTACAAAAGAATGTAAAGTGTATAAGGAAATGCTGATTGAACAAAACAAACAATAGTAACAGAAGAATGTACGCAGAACATAGAGTGCAACGAGAATTGTGTATATTTGAAAATGTGAGAGTTCCTATCACTGACCAAGTGCTCCTGCACACATGTGGATAAATGCTGAGAGGTTTCACCTGCTTCCACAACTTTTCAACTTAAAATCAAAGAAGCTATTCAGACTTCATCACTAACAAAAGTGACAAAAGTGAAAGGTGGGTAACTTGAACACAGATGACCCAACCCAACTTGAGCAAGACAAGATTTCTCTTGACCCATTTTTTTGGGCCATTTACTGTCTGCTAACCCAAACCTCTGCTGACTCAAACCATTTTTTGTTTCCTTTTGGGTCTCCACAGTTGGAGGAAACTACTGCCCTGTAAATTCAATCATGCAGAAATGCATGCTTAATGAATTTTGTACAAGGAACCATCCAAAACTATCAAATGCGACAAGAGAGAGATGAACAGGTTTTCAAGCTTGCCCTTAATCTCTTCAGAACTTGCCGTCTGAAATCATTATTCAATCTCATCAAGGCACACATTAACAACTCATTAAGTTTTGTCATCTTTTATTTCAAATATATACAGAAGGTGAGAACAAAGCATGAAAGCATTAACATCTTTACAAATAACCATTTTAGCATCCAGTGAGATTCTTTTCAAAATATTAATATGGCTACCCTTATGAGAAAAAGTTCTCAGTTGGTGTTTGAATCTGAATAAATTAATTCAGTTAAAAGGATTATTCACAATAAGTAAAATTTCTTAGAGCCAATAAATTAATTATTTCCATGTTAAAAACATGACCACACTTGGATGAAGTTTTTTGTAACCTGACTCAAAGAGATAGGCCATTTTTTTGCCTTTGATTACAGTTCACAAATTCCTGTGCTAACATTGAGTTTTTTATCAGCCACTGAAAGTGATTTTGTCAAAAACAAAACAAACAAAACAAAAACAACAACAAAAAAACAATATTTGACAAGCAATTCATAATATTCAGTCAAAGAATTCAGTTAATTTTTTTTTTATTTAGAAATACAGGAAAATTGGTTATAGAAACTTTAATCTCTCGCCAGCAAGAAATTAAGCCTAAAGAACACATGTCTATACATATGTGTAATCCTGTCACTAAGAAATTTCCTGGAACCTGCCAAAAAAATATTTATCATGTAAGAGCAGCCTTATTAATATTTTTCCTTATTATTCTGGAATCTTTTCAATAATGAATATAATTATGCTGATTAAAACAAATTCTCAAGGTTTTTTGCCCACCAAACGTCTCCTTAGCGATACATATGTGTATTTCTTGGTAAAATATGGAATAAAAACATTTTAACAGTTATATCCACCTCATCTTGAACAGCATGTAAGATATGTGATCTTAATGATATTAAATAACTCAATTTCTGATTAGTATGATTTAATCTAACCATCTAACAAGTGCAAACCTCTATGGTCATACTATTTAGAAAGTACCATTAGGAACTTAACCATATGTTA